TACTATTTCTACTCTTATTCAACATTATAATAGAGATCATTGATAATACAATAAAGGAAGAAAAACAAATAACTAATATGGGTTGGAAAGGAAGAAATAAAACTATAATTATTTAAGATGACATGATTGTAAAACAAAAAATTCAGATTATTTTCAGATAAATTATTTGCATTAATAAGTTATAACACAGCACTAGATTCATGTAATATCTCAAAGTAAATGCATTTCTATAACATTTACAGTAGTCTCAAAACCTTAACTACTTAGGACTAAATCTAACAAAACATACAAGACATATATGATAATTATGATGGGACATTAAATAAGCCTTAAATTAATGGGGGAGTGTATCACTTGTATACATTAAAAGACTCAATATTGTGGATATATACATTTACCCAAAATTGACCTATAAATTCAGAGCAATTTTTTATTAAATTCCTTCTAAGAAGGTAGGGGTGTGTGTGTGTGTGTGTGTGTGTGTGTGTGTGTGTGTGTGTATTGATAAGCTGATTTTACAACAGAACGCTAAAAGACCCAGAACACTGAAACAGTCAAGTGCAAACTTCAAAGACCCCACCACATAGCCAACTGTATAGTATTAGTATGAGTGGACAAACAGTGCAAAATAATAGAGTCTATACCCAAACCTACATGGCTGTCTTTATAACAAAAGTGCCACTGATGATCCAGGAGTTAAGGATCATGGACTTTGTATCAGTGGTATTTGGTAATTTGTTATTCATATGAAAAATAAATCTTAATTTCTGTTCCTTACCTAACAGAAAAAAATAAATTCCATATGGATTTAAGAAGTTAAAACATACAACAATAGAGTTAGTAGAGGACTATGTAGGAGAATATATGCATGGTATAGGAGCAGCAGAGATTTCCTGAGTGTGACAAAAACTAATAATCATGGTCAGGTAATCCAGTCGGTCAACTGAAGAATATTAAAATTACTACTTTAGTGAAATTGAAGTGTAATCTTAAAATAATGAAAATGTAAGCTGTAAAACAGATGAAATGTTTGCTCTGCATGTATCAAAGCAGTTTTATCCAAAATAAGTAACTCACTGTCAATAAGAAAATGATTGACAACTCAGTAAAGATCAGGATCAAAAGAGGTTCACCAAAATAGGTCTTTAAGCATATAAGAAGGTTTTTAAGGATTTTTAGTCATTAGGGAAACACATTAAAACACGGTGCTACAGGTCCAGGTTTGTCAAACTTTTTAAAGGGCCCTGCAATAAATATGTTTGATGTCTTTGGCCGTGTGGCCTTTGTTGCAGCTGTTCAGCTTTGATGTTGTAGGGCACAAGCAAGTAGATTTAGACAACATGGACAGTGAAGATGTCAACACTACCTAAATTAATCCATAGATTTAATGCAATCCTTATCAAAAATCCATGTTCTATTTTTTCAGAAATAGAAAAATCCACTCTAATATTCATATACTCTTAAGGAATCCTGAATAGCCAACATACTGTTGAAAAAGAATCAAGTTGGAGGTCTCATCCTTGTTGATGTCACAACTTCTAGCAAAGCTGTAGTGACCAAAACAGAGTAGTACTAGCACAAAGGCAGAAATACATACTGGCAGAATAAAATAGAAAACCCTGAAATAAACCCTAGTATATATGGTCAAGTAATATTCAACAACAATGTCAAAACTATTGAGTAAGGGAGAGGATAGGATCTTTTTTTTCTTAACAAATAGTACTAGGAAGACTGGATATCCACAGGCAAAAGAATAAGTTAGATGCTTACCTTGTATCATATTTAAAAATTAAGGTGGATCAATGACCTTGTCTTAGTTCCTTTTCTCATTGCTGAGACAAACTACCTAACACCCAGAGTTAAAGGGGGAAGGGTTTATTGTAGCTCAGAGTTTGTAGAGGTTCCATTTCATAGCTGGCTGGCTCTAAGGCAGGGTGGCATCGAGAGCAGGTAGGCAGAAGGCAGCAAGCAGCAAGCAACAAGCAACAACAGCCTTCTTTCTATCTCTTATATTTTAGCCATGCCACCCACCCTTAGGGCAAGTAATACTCACACCCTTAATCCTAGTATCACACTTTGAATCAATCCCAGCATCACATCCTTGATCCCAGCATCACATACCCTCGGTCCAGCCACCTCTGAAAAGCCCCACCTATGACTGCATGAGGCTTTGGGTGTATATCTAGATACAAACCTTAACAGACCTAAATAAAAAGCCTGAACTTATAAATATCATAAAAGAAAACAGGAAACGTCTTCACATCGTTAGACTTGATGAAGTTTTCTTCGGTATGACATTGAGACACAAGCCAACAAAAATAAAAATAGCTAAACAAGACTATATCAAAATTGGAAATTTCTATGCATCAAACTATATATGAGCAGAATAAAAAGGTATCAATGGAGTGGTAGAAGAATACACACAAATTGTGTATCTGATAAAGTTAATATCCAGAGTTACAAAGAACTGCTACTCAAAAAATAACCTGATTGAAAGAGGTAAGATCTTGAATAAACATCTTTCCAAAGAATACATATAAAGAACCCAAGAACATATGAAAAGTTGCTTAACATTGCTTATCCTTAGGTAAATGCAAATCACATGAAATGTCACCTCACATCTATTAGGGTGGCTACTATGAAAAACAAATCAAAACAGGACATAATAAATCTGAAGAAGTGGAACCCTCGATGCACCTTTGGTGGAAATGGTACACCATTTCTACCAAAGTGGTACAGCCACTGTGGATAAACTAAAAAGAGAAGTACCACATGATAAAATCGAGTACTTCTATGCTGGATATTCAAAAGAATTGAAAGCAGGATCTCAAAAAGAATTATCTGCACGTCCATGTTCACAGCAACACTATTCACAGTGGTCAATAGGTAGAAGGAACCTAAATGTGTCAGTGGATGAATGGATAACGTGCAATATATACTTACAGTGGAGTATTTATTCAACCTTAAAATGGGAGAAAATTCAGACATAAGTTCCAATATGGATGAACTTTTATGATATGTTAAGTAAAATAAACCAGCCGTAAAATGATGAATACTCTGATTCCACTTGTATGAACTATCTGAAAATAGTCCAATCATTGAAACAAATTAGAATAGCAGTTACCAGCAGACAGGGGTAGGGGAAATGGTGAGTTTTATTTGAATGGATTAGAATTTCAATTTTGCAAGGTGGAAAAATTGGGGCAATTTGCTATACATAATGTAAATGTACTTCACACTAGTTAACTGAACCCTTGTGGTGGTTAAGATGGTAAATTTTGCTATGGATTTTTTACCACAATTTTTAAACAAGGCAATAGGCCAGATTTGGCCTGCTGGTTGTCAGTCTTTGCTTTAAATACTCTTACACACAAACAAAAACAAAACAAAAAACTTTGCTTTAAATACTCTTACACACAAACAAAAACAAAACAAAAAACTTTGCTTTAAATATTCTTACACACAAACAAAAACAAAACCAAAATACTCTTACACACAAACAAAAAACAAAACAAAAAATCGCCAGATGGTGGTGAAATTCTTGAAAATCTGTTACTCTAATAGCTGTCAATGGAAGTGATACTAATACAGTCATTTTGTAAATTTGGCAATATTGGTCAAACTTAAGCATATTCATATCCATGACCACTCCTCACGATGTCCTCAGGAAATGTCTATCTCTGTGTACCAGAAAGCCTTACATTAGAATGCTTACTGCAGTATCATTTATAAAAGTAAGCAGCCTGAGTAACCCACAATTTCAAGAGTAACATGGATAAAGTGTAACAGGTTTATAAAATGGAGTAATACAGTAATGAAAATGCACTACTATTACAATGTAGCAACAGGGATTAACCATACAAATATAAAAATTAGACTTTCAAAGTGTGTACTATGCATTTCCAGTTAAGTTAAAAACCAAGTAATACTAATCTTCTATAATATCACTTCTTAAAAGTACAATCCAGAGACCTGTAGAAGTTTCCAAGGACATATCTCGGATAAATTTGCTAGGTCAAAACTATTTTTCATAGTACTATTAAGATTTTTTTGTTGGTTTCTTTTTCACAGAGGCCATATGACATGTGTCACTGTGAATGAATAACAGATATGAGAAGTTAGACACATTTTTTTAAACCAGGCATTATGTCTCCACAAATTTTTTTCTTAGGACATGTTATTTGTGATAATATGTAAAAGGATTTAATTATTTTAAAAGAAATAAATGTATTTTTGCAGTTTATCCTTTTTAATTTTTTATTTTATGAAAAACTAAGTTTTATAGCAAAATAATGAGAAAAGAAGTTTGTGCTCTGTGCATCATTATCTTCAAAGTAGTTACTGAGAGTACAAGACAGAAACCAAAAGATTCTTACAAAAAAGAAACATAATAACACAAAATTTTCTAATGGTATAAAGAATCTGCATGAACAAAAGCTCTTCAACCTTTATTAATTTTTAAGAGTATCACAGAGTACTGAGACAAGAGTTTGAGAAACACTTTGAAGTGTTTCTTCTAAACAAGGATAGTTGCCTTTACATTGTAAAATGGGTTCATTGATTGAAAGGGGGCACATGAGGACTTTACACAATGTTGGAAATATTTTTTTAAAACTCTTTACTAATAGTAAATATTTGTGTTTACTTTATTAAGTCTTTAAAGGCTGTATACTTGGGAAATTTATGTTATATATTTATTATATACCTATATTACTGTGTAAAGAAATGTTTGAAAATTATCCTTTAATATTCTTAACCTGTCACATGACACCAGAAAGTCATTATGTTTCCATAAGAATCCTGAACTGACTAGATGTCATGAATTTCATATCATCAACATACCATATTGATGTCATCTATGTTTATGTTATCGGTTAGCAAGTTGGTTCATGTTCTGTAATCATCAGATGTATATTGTTTTGTTTCATGCTATATTCACTAAAAATCTAGAATATCCTAGTAATTTTCTTTTCCTGGTAATATATTTGTCACCCTTATAGAAAGAATCCTGTGCATTTTCAGCACTTTAGCCACCCTGGCGATAGTGATTATGGAGGTGTGCCCATCACGGGTCAAGATGAGACTGAGGAGCGACCTGAGTGTCCCTACGGAGCATCTTGTTATAGGTATGGAGTTTAAAATGCTTGCCTGTACTGCCTTCTTCCCTAAACTGTCTTACTTGTTTGGGAACAAGTATGATCTGCTTCTCATCTCCAACCTTTAGTGTGGTTTTAAGACTTTCATATGTTGAAAATTTGTATTTTGCTAATAGGATATGGTTCTCTATATAACTCTAAATTGTTTGAGTTATTAATCCTGTTAAGTACTCAACATTTTTCTTCATTCCTAACTTCCTAACGTGTGCAAATCAGATGATTTCAAAGCTTCTGATGCTATCACAACATATCCTCTATTGAGATTCCTAGGTATGATATGTAAATCCATTCAGGATGCTATCCCTGTCTTTCTCAACTTTCTCTTTTCCTGCTCCTCCACCATTTTGTAGCACTATGTTATAAAAGAAGAGTAAGACTACCTCTCCTCTTGCTTCCATAACTGGCTTCCTCTGTAGCATACACAAGTAAAACTCATGTCTTGAGATTGTATTTATTTCTTTACCAGAAGTTCTCTCCCTCCAAGGAGCAAGTATTTTGAGAGCAAGAACATCTATCCTTGGTATCTTACAATTTTGTTTAATATTCTGGAAACATTAGCCCAAGAAATTAGACAAGAGAAAGAAATAAAAGGAATAAAGCTAGTAAAGGGAGAAGTTCAATTACCATTATTTGCAGATGACATCATTCTCTATATAGAAGACCCAAAACCCCATAAAAGACCACCAGAAGACTTCTAGAATTAATAACCAAATTCAGTCATGTAGCAGGATATAAAGTCAGCACTCAAAAATCAGTAGCATTCCTGTACACAAATAAACTCAGAGAGAGAAATGAGGGAAACCACATCTTTTATAATAGCATCAAAAAAAAGAAATACTTGAGAATCAATCTAAGGAAGTAAAAGATCCTTACATTGTTTAATGAATGGATGAAATTGAATTGAACCAAACTAACAAAGAAAGAAGTAGTGATTCCACTCTAGAGAGTATTAAGGACAGACAACCTTTGTTCTTAGGTAATTTTGAGTACAGGTTACTGAACCTACTGACCACCCTGAAGTTGCTGATATTTCAATGATTGTGGTTTTCAGTAAGATAGCAAAATAATCTTCTGAGACTGGAAAGGAAAATTAAAAGGCTTATACCTTTTCATTTGAAAAACAAGTATTTCATTCCAGCAAAAAGAACATTCTGCAGATAATAGGATATTATGATCAACTTTTCCAGTAAATTTGAAAATTTTGAAAAGTGTGCAAATTCATAGAAAAATACAAGCTTAAGAAACATATGAGAAAAATAGAAAATGAAAAAATCCTGTACCATTAGAGAAACTTAGTAATTCAAAGCACTCCAAAGAAATTATAGATCTATTTTATTTTACAGGCAAATTCTACCAAGTATGTAAAGAAACTCAAGCTTTACATGAACTAATATTCAAAAGAAGATAAAAAAGAATATATTCCCCAGATCATCTTATGAGTAGATATCAAATTCTAGCAAGAATAACACAAGGATGAAAGAGTATGGAACAAACTTATTTTGAAATACAGTTAAAAACTAATATGTTTGGATCGGGGATATAGCTCAGCAGCACAGTGCCTACCTGGCAAGCTCAAGGTTGTGAGTTCCATTCCTGGTAACAAAAAAAACAGTACCCTGAGAAAATACTCAGTATGAATCAAGCAATAACTAAAAAGAAAAATAAGTATAACATGACCAAGTGGGGTTTATCTTAGTAATGTATGTTTTATTTTATATTAACAGAATTTATCATGTCATCAGAATGAATATAAAAGTTATGTAGCCAATAGGTGGCAGAAAAGCGTGACAAAAATCAGCATTAATTTATAATACAAATTCAGTACAAAATAGGATTGGAAAAGAAAGTCTTTAAAGAGTACCTACAGAAAACTTATAACAAATATACTAGGAAAAATATTAAAAATTTCCTTTCTGAAGTCAGAAATGGCACAATAACGCTTTTTATTACTAGTACTTCAGTTTGTTACTGTAATGGAGATTCAGAGCGGTGCAGTAAGATAAGAAAAGGAGAATAGCTAAAGATTGAAAAGGAAGAAATAAACAGGTGATCACAAATGACATTACTGGCTATATAAGAAATACAAAATAGCCTACTGGTGAGTTATAAATATTAATAAGTGCTTAGCAAGGTTTCTGGATACAAAAATCAATATACAAAATCAATTGTATTTCTATATTTCAATGCCAACCAATTAGAAATTAAAAACCTGTAAAGACAATATGTATAACAACATCACAAGTACCAAGTTCTTAGGAATATAAATATAATAAAAAGCATAAAAACCTTTCTGGAGAAAACTTGGAGAAAAACTTTTTCAGAAGGAGATAAGTAATTATAAAGGTGGAAATGTTCATGATTCTACAAGTCAGTATTATTAAAGTGTCAATTTTCCTCAAATTGATTTGTGTGCAGATCCATTCAAAATCATAGAACTTCAGTGTAGAAATTTAGAGGGTGATTCTGAAATTGATATGGATATGTAGAAGACTAGAAATAGTCATTATAACCTCAAATAGTAAAGAGCAGGTGGTATGACTTGTTATACCTTAGAGTAACTAAAACAATGTGGTGTGGACCCAAAGATAAGGTAAAAAAACTGAAGCTGAACAGATCCAGAGACAGACAAAATGATACAGCTTTAAAGATGAATAAAAAGGAATTGTTAGGGCCAGGGATATAACTCAGTGACACAGTGCCTTTCTTGGCAAGTGCAAGGTCCTGAGTTCAATTCCTAGTACCAACAAAAAAAAAAAAGGAATTGTTTCATGGACTCAGAGCAGGGATTATTTCTTAAAACAAGATAGAGAATGCAATACTTACAATGGGAACATTTAATTCCAATGAGAACATTTAATTATTTGACTATAGCAAATGAAAATATTTTTAATCTATCAGTAGACAATATTGAGAGCGAAAAACCACAGGGTGAGATTAATAATTGCAACTCACATTTCTGACAATAGAGTATGTATATCCAGACACACAAAAAAATACCTCAAATTGTCATTGCTTTTTGGTTAATGACAAGCACTTTTCCCTAAAGAAAACCCAAATGGTGAACAAACATGTGAAAAAGTATATGATATCATTAATAATCAGAGAAATTATACACATACACACTTATTATTTGGAAGTAACTTTCTTTTTTCTTATTTGTTCCTTTACAAATATTTTCCAAAGACATACCAAAGACAAGTACTGATAAAACAGTTTTGAGATGTATTTCCCAGAACAAATATGTCTTACTCATTTATATTTTTAGAATACAACAGTTTGTCACTTCTCATGTCATAATTTATAACACTATGGTGATACACCTTTTATGATAATTTATAACACTATGGTGATAATTTATAACACTATGGTGATACACCTTTTATGATAAAACTTCTGTAATGGAGAACTTGACATATATATACACATGTGGAAAGAATATAGAATAAGTTCTGATGAAACCATCACCCAGATTTTACAGTTGGGCCATTGAACCTGATCATTATTATTTCACCTCCTCCCTTACTACTTGATATTTTTGTGTTTATATTATTTTGAAATAAATCTTTAAGGTGTTATCTTTTCATCCAATTTTATCCATAGATAGCATGTTTCTCTAAAAATATAATGGTTCTCTTAAAACATATTATAATATTATTAAAAACAATATCATTTAATATTCTGTCATATATTCAAATTCCCTTATAGTGTTATTTTTTTACGTTTTGTTTCTTTTTATCAATCTCCAGTTAAGGTCCATATATGACAAAAGTGACCATTTCTCTTAAATTGCTTGATAGATTCTTCTTCAATTTTTCCTTGTGATGTATTTTTGGAGAGAAGTGGTGATTTATTTTGAAAAGTATGCCATAGTCTGGATTAAGTGATTTGTTACAGGAGTATCATTTACTTTGTCCCACCCTGTATTTCCTAGTAGTTTTCAGCCAAAAATCTAAAGCTGTAATTAGATTATTAGTTCTAAAAATTATAAAAATAATGGCCTGGTCCAATGAATACCATGCTCCTCTTAGGCTCTATAGTACTTTTACTTTAAGGTCTAAGGTCTACTTTGATATTTACAAATGTTTGGGGATTGCGCTGATATTTTATTATTATTACTGATTGCTAATTAAATTCTATGTGCTGTATAACATACTGTTTTGAATCTAAATCTTTGGAAATTCAGTGAATTTAATTAAGCCCAGCACGTGGCCTACTTTTGTTGCATATACCATGTGCACTTAAAGGTGTGTTATATAGTTGCTGTGAGTCATTGTAGTGTGGCCTACTGTCATAGTGGAAGTAGAGCTCCTATTTTTTTCTGATGTGACCACCCAGATTCACTGGGTGACTTTCCCTGGCATCCTTTTCCTTCCTTTTTCTTCTACCTGTGTCCTAAAATATGTCTTATCAATAGCATAAAGTTGGTCCAGTGGTATTTATTTTTAATCTAGCCTAAATGTTTCTACTAGACAGAGTATTCAATCCATGTACATTTAACACAATTAATAATATATTTGGCTTACTTTACTTTTTCGTTATTTGTTCCATACATTCTGTGTTCTTTTTACTACTTTTCCTAACTTACTTTACATTTTTATTTCATATTTTCTTCTTGCTTAGCTTTTAAGTTATATTTTATTTTTTTAATATCTGCACTAGATTTCAATAGACATCCATGTTTTATTACAATCTACCTTACTAGTGGTACTTTAACCACTTCCTAAACAGTATAAGAACCTCGTGTCAGTTTAACTCAATTTCTTCCCTATTTGTCTACCCTCCTCTATTGTCATTATATATTTTTACCTCTACACATTAATTCAAAAGACGTTGCTATTATTTTTACTTTTAAACATTAACAGAGTCATAAATTTCATTTTTTTATATATGTATGGTTTGGGGTACCCTTCATTTATTACTAACTTTTTCCTTTTTTTGTGGTACTAGGAATTGAACTCAGAATCTTCACA